TTATAACGACCCCTGCCTTGGGCTATTAACGCACAGCAAAACTGGGAATATGGAGAAAATGGCGAGAGTTTGGCTGAAATCTTGGCGCTGTTGAAGGCCCTGGGAGTTTTGCCTTTGATTTCAATGGGGCTAGGATCTCATCCCCGGCTTCGGAGAGACTCAAGGACGGAGAGTCTGGAGGATTAAACCCCCCCAGCGCTCCAGCCCTCAAGAGCACGTGGCATGGAAGTAATAAGGCCTTTACACCGCTGCTTTCCCGGGATTCTTAAAGCACTCCACAAAGGTGGGAAAAGCGTCCTTAGCCTCACTTCGCAAATGGGGAAACTGAGGCACGGAGCAGGAAAAGTGACTTGCCCAGTATCTCAGGGAAAATCTGGGGCAGGCTTAGGGACAGAATCCAGGTCTCTTGACTCCCAGTACCCTGCTCTAACCAGCAGGCTACACTGAGATCCCCAGAAAGGACAGCAGGGGATGGACATGTCCGGGCTAGGGCGCAGAGGTCGGGGGAGCTTGGCACCAGAGTGGAAGCATATCCTGCAGCTGCCTCAGAAAGCCATTTCATTTAAAGAGAATCAATCTCCTTAGGAAACTGACTGAAGCAATTGAGCTCGAGAAATGCCAGATCGATTTCCCCTCTCCTCCTCCAGTTTCTCCCCCCCCGCCCCCCCGCCCAATCCTGAATCCAGGCAGGGGAGCAAACTCCTCCATCTGGCCACAGAACCCCCCTGTGGATAATAATAGCTGCTTCGTGTAGAAAATTCAATTAGGCCCAACAAAGAGATGAATGTTAGTGCTTCCTCGGCAGGCCCCATCCGGTTCTGTTCTGTTCCTCCGCAAGTGGCTAACTGCAGGGGCTGTTATGAAAGAACCCTTTCAATTCTCATGGCATTTATAGCTAGGGCTGGCTGGAGAGGGCTTTTCAGAAAGGAAAACGACCGTGGGGCTCTAGCCCGGTGATTGGCCATTGTGTGCCTCAGATGCCACTTACGAGATGGGACACCAGCTGTTGTGGCTGGCAAGGGGTTGAATATAGGCCGTGTCTAGTGGTTTTCTCCTGGCGTCTCCCTGAGCGGTTGATGGGTTCGTTAAAGGTGAACTGTCTTGCCAGAGAAAGAAGGGGGTTAGTGCCGGTTTCCTGGCCACGTTTGGGGACCTGTTGTTCTGCTTTCCTAAAATCGCCCCCCTCATTCATCCCCTTCTCCCGCAGGTTCCAACTAGAGACAGCAGACTTCTCCATTTCCCGACATTGTTGCTGAGGGCTTGTTCAATAGCAACCACGTTCCATCCCAGAGGTGGCTGCAGCGTAATTTGTGGGTTAACGGCACCGTGTGAGTGTGAGCTGCCATTACTCCCCTGGGTGCTCTTGGCCCGGGTACAGGCAGGTGCTTCACTCCTCCAGTCCCCGTTTAAAAATAGGTCTGTTCCAGAACGGCAGATGGTGGGGTGCAATCAAGTCTGGGGAGGAAGACTTTGGTGTTTCTGAGCGTTGATGTTCCAGTAATGACAGGGTTTTGTATTTATTTTACCGGGGCGGTGAGTTTGTTTAAGGGGAAAAAACAGAAGACCGAAAGAAAGAAGAACAAAAGTAAAACTGAGACGTCTTTAACACAATCACCTCAATTTAGGTATCCTTAGTAAACACATCCTTAATCCAGCCATCCTTAACGGGCATGTCCTTAACTGAAGTATCCTTAGCCCTTCCATTTGGAATCATCTCCTCCATTTATTCAGTGGGAAAGGTGGGAGGGAGTTGCTGGAGGGGGCGCGCTGGTTTCCCAGGAGGCAGGGGCACAGTGTAGCAGCTGTGTGTGGAGGGGTTCTTGGACCATGGAGGGAGGGAAGCTGAAGCAGCAAGGGAGGGAGTGGAAGAGGATGCAGGCACAGAAGGATCCGGCTGAGAGGGACTCAGGGAGGCTGTTTGTTGGCTGACACGCTTCACCCAGCTGCCGCTGCACCAGCTGGTTGAGGGGACTAACTGCCATTGGATAAGCGCTTGGGGTGAGGAGGAATTTATCAAAGCTGACTCTGCTGTGGGCATTGGGTAAGGCAGTGTGGTTGAGGTGATAGGGCACTGGACTGGGACTCAGGACACCTGGGTTCCATTTCCAGCTGGGCCACTGACCTCCAGGGTGACCTTGGGGAAGTCGCCTCTGTGCCTCAGTTTCCTCTTCTGTAAATTGGGCTTTGTAACGTGCTTTGAGAGCTGCTGATGGAAAGTGGTATTGTAAGCTCTTCGGGGGCAGGGCCTGTCTTTGTATAACACTTAGTACCGTGGGGCCTTGGCCCATGACTGGGACAGCTAGGCACTATGGTAATACAAGGAATAGGTGGTGCTGCTATTTACAGAAAGGGACAGGAAACCCTTTGGTCACTGAAGCTGTCCATGACTCAGCACTTCAGTGGCACAGTGGTGTTTAAGGGTGAAGGCCCCTCTGCTCCTCTGTCATGGGTACATTAACTTGCAGTGGGGCCCACGGTGGTCTGTTAGCCCAAGGAATGGCACTGAAGCCTGTTACATGGGGCAGCCCAAGGATCCAGGCATGCTCAGTTGGCCTAGTAGATGTGGGTTGTGAACTGGGGGACACTTGGATCTCTGAAGAGAGGGGTGGGTGGGGGGGTCCTTGGGGCAGATTTCATTGTTGGCTGCAGGAGCCAGGTGTGGGGGGCCGGCTGCAAAGCAGTGGTGCTGGAACACTTTTTAGAGTGGGGGTGCTGCGCCCGCCCCCCCACCCCCGCTGCACCTTAGAGCTGGGGCCAGGAGCAGGGCCATGGCTCTGGGAGGGGGGGATGCAGACAAGGATAAGGGGCGGGGCCAAGGCTGGGGCCACAGCTGGGGGCAGGGGCAGAGCCCAAGGCATGGGGCTGGCAGCCGGGACCCCGCATGCAGGGCTGGGAGCAGAGCCCCCAGGTGCAGGGCCAGCAGCCAGAGCCCTGCATAGAACCTGGGGGTGCTGCAGCACCCCCTGCACCTGTGCTGCAAAGGGGGGCAGATGCATAGCATTTAGAACAGACACAAGGGGCAGGATTTTCAAAAGTGCCTAAGGCCATGTTGGGCACCCCCAGCGGCACTGCTCTGGTGAAGAGTGGACGCTCCTATATCGACAGGTGGGTTTTTTCTGCTGATGCAATTAACCACCTCGCTGAGAGACGGGAGCTGGGTCTCTGGGAGATTTCTTCCATCGGCCTCACTGCGGCTATGCCGGGGCTCAGGTTGGCGTCACTACCTCGCACAGGGCGTGAAATTGTTCACACTCTTGAGCGATGTAGCTAGGTTGATCTTTTCAAGCCTAGGGGAGTCAGGCACCCAACTTCCATTGCCTTTCCATGGGAGTTAGGTGCCTAACTGATGGCGGTGCTTTCATACCCCCTGCCCAGCAGCCTGGCCCTGGCAGACTGACGGCTGAGTTGCAGTCCTACCCACCAAACCCGGATGTGTGGCGTGAGCGGCTCGAAAGACACCGGAGAGCAGCGGGGACAGCAGGTCATGATGGTGTTGGGCACAGCGCTGGCAAAGCAGCTGCGGGGGCGTGTCCTGCAAGGGGCTGGCGTTGGGGCTAGCTCAGAAAATCCATATCATGGACCGGTTGTGGTACCACAGAGCCATCTGCTGGGCACAGGAGATGCCAGCCAGCAGCCGTTATGGAAGGTGGGCCCCCTTCAGCTGATCCTTCTCCCTGGGCCTTGGTCTGAGCTCTTATACCAGATGTAAATCAGGAGTGGCCCTGTCTTCAGTGCAGTGACACAGAGGTCAAGCTAGTGAGAGGGGGAAATCCAGCCCCCTATTTAAAGGCGGCAGGCGGCTCTGGAGTGCAGGCATAAAGAATAGGCAGGACCCCACTGGGACCAGGTACTGCCAGGGTAACCCCCACCCTCGGATACAGGCCTAGGGCAGGCCTGGTGGTGGCACAAGAATCCCACCCGAGTACGTTCAGCGTGTGCTCTGGGTCAGGGGCGTTTCCGGGCACACCCTCTGGAGTCACCCCCAGCCAGGCTCTCGAACCGCAGAGCTGCTCCTCCTTTGCCCAAGGATCCCGTTTACTCTGTTGTTCCCCACACAGCCAGGCTGAGCCACTGGGCCTCCCTCAACCTCCCCGAGGGCTCCTGCTGGCCCATCCACAGGGACTCGGGCCGCAGGACTTCCCTTCTGTAGACCTGCACCGTCAGCCGGTGGAGCGATGGGGACACCCAGTGCCTGAGGAGGTGAAGCTCAGGCCTGCACATGTTACGTGGGGTGGGTGCCACAGCCGTGGCTGGTTGCACGGATCCCTCTGCTGCCTGTCTCAATTCCCCAGGGATAGTCCAGGCTCTTGTCTCTTCCCAGGGGGCAGGCAGCTGACACTTAGCTGGATATTAACGAGCACCATGCGGAGCCCGTGTGTGCAGTAGGGATGGGTCCTGAGATCTACCCAGCAAGCAGGGAGTTAACTCCAGGCTTCAGTCCCCCAACTGGGGCAGCGTTGTGAAGCAAGGGAGGGGACTCGAGGGCCAGCCGGGGGCTCCAGGAAAGCCTGGGTTCCTGGGAGGCAGCAACAAGAGGTCTCGGACTCTGAGCAGGCAGAGCCTCATCTCCCATTCGGCAGGGGCCGGCTCACAGCCTGTGTCTCTTGGAGCGTAGAGTCCAAGTGAGGGAAGGGGACACGTGTTGGGTGAAAAGCTCTTGCTGGTGCCGGACCGGCTCCTGTGCTCTCCCAGCTCCCCAGGGATGCCTGCAAGGGGTCCCCAGATTTACTTCTGCCTCTTTGTGCGTTTGATTGGTGGGGCTGCCGCACTTGGTCTGCAGAGCAGGGGCAATGGGCCCCTTCGCCCACGCATAGCCTGCTCCTTAAGGGGACGGGTATAGCTGGGATGTTGGCCCTTCCCGTGGGGGATCCAGCCCTGAGGAAGGAATCCTGGCCACACATCCTTTGGCTGAAGGCAGCTGGCATAGCCCTGCCCACCCATGTATGGCAGGAGGAAAGCGAGCTGAGCCTGGAGAGACAGACAGACCCTCCAGGCGGGGCTTGTACACACAGTGCTTTTATTTGTAGTCTTCAGCCAGAGAGACCCTCCGGCTTGGACAGTGGCTTAGAATTCAAGAGGGGCCCCTGTGTCCACGTGCAGCGACTCGCAAAGAGCCCGACACACGCGGTGGTGGCTCAGAAATGCTTGCCCAGGGCTTTGTTTGTAATGCAAGAGGGGCCGGGACTCAAGCAATTGTTTTACTTCCATAACTGACGCAGCAAGGCCGGAAGTGCCGGGGCTCTGAGCTGCGCCTGCACCTCTGGGCTCTGAGCTACCAAGGCCAGAGGTCACAAATTAAGCACTGCTCTTGTCTTTTGCAAAAGAAACACGCGCATGTTGCATTGGGTAATGGCACAATTTGGTGCTAAGTGGTTAAATTGGGTGCACTGCCCTGACAGCAGAGGCAAAGAGGACACTCAGATAGTCACTCTCTCTCTCTCCCCACAGCCACCCAGTCAGCCTGCTTAAGGGAAGGGGTTGCCTAGGATCTTTCACAAGGGTTGGTTGCTGGGTGGTGTGTGGGTGTGTGTGTGTGGGGGGGGCTGTTAGTCTTGGCTCAGCTAAGTTTAGGACTTTCTTTTCAGTGTTGTGGGCATAGCCCTAAGCCACGCCAAGGGGCATTAAGGGGGAGTATGCACGTAAGTGTTTCTGGCATATAGGCATGTGCATTCGAGGTGGATCTGTGGTTTGCAGGATTTAGCCCAGTCTAGAGGTCCATTGGGGCAGCTGGATCTGGTTCCGTTCACTCTCTTTCTCTCTCCCATCTGGACTATTTCCAGCCGATCTGCCTGGGCCCAGGTCCTGGTCTCTCTCCACCTTCATCTTCATGTTCCCTTCCTGGGCCCAGCCTAAGGCGAAAGGCACCCTCCTCTCCCCGCTGCTTTGCATGATTCTTAATAATAAAGAAACCAGTCACCTAGCACAGCAAACTTTAACAAGCTCTGTCCCCCAGGAAGTAGGCAACTGTTGTTATAGATGGGGAGAGAAGCTAAGTGACTTGCCCTAGGCCACAGAGGGGCTCAGTGGCAGAACTGGGACTTGGGGCTTCCAGGTCCTGTGTTGAGACCATAGGACCATGCCGCTCTCTTGAAGCATCTAAAAGATGAAGCCTGAATCCCTCTCAAAGTGGACTGTATCTGATGCTGGTAAGCGGCACTGTGAGAGCCACTGTTCAACGCGCCTGCTGGGGAGGGAGGTTTAGGGTCTGAGGTGATGTCAGCCAAAAGTAGAGGGAAGGTCCTAGAATTATTTATAGCCAGCTCGCTCCTTCCCCCTACTCCAGCCTTGGCACCATTCCAAAGCGACGCTGCGGCTGGCTGAAAGGGCATCGGGCGAGTGGGGCAGAGGAGAGCACGGAGATTTTTAAAAGCTTTCTAAGGGTTGGTGCATTAATGGACCCCAAAGCAGCTACTCCCAGTCTCTGCGTGACCCAATGAGTAAAGATGGGCAGCTGCATGCAGTCTCTCTCTCTCTCTCACTCACACACACACACACGCACATACACACTAGTGATATACTCTCAGCCTGGAGCTCCCGCCTCGTCTCTGGAAGCAGCACCACGCAGAAACTATCCAAAGCCTATGGAGGACCCAAGGGATCAGCTGCGGTGAATGGGACCCGGTCTGACTTTAGGGGCCATGGCCCAGCTACGGCTCCACCGTCACGCTGCTGTTGGTCATGCGGACCCCGTACCATCCCTTCCAGAAGAGCGTGTCCTGGCCGCCGTGTTCAAAGCGCACAAAGCGAGCCCCGGGGCCGTAGTCGGAGAAGGTGTGGGAGAGCTGAGGGGGCAGAGAGAGAAAGAGAGACAATGGCTTCGGGGAAGTCACAAGCTGCCCCTGAATCTCCCCTCCGAGGAGCGAGGCCCTGCGGGGATGGGGTCACCAGCCACTGGCGGGAGATGGGCTATCTGATGGTCTTTGGGCCCCACTGCTACGCTGGAGCCATCAGCGGCTTTCTCCTTCCATGCCACTTCCCTCTCCCCACCCACTCACGTGGCTGGGTTGGCAGGTTACTGAGCCACATGGAACCCAGCCTCATGGTCCCAGCTGCAGAAGAGGAGAGACAGGATCCCAGGGTAAAGACCCCCCCCCACCCAGCCTTCACCCCATCCTGCTCCTTTGGCAGCTGAGCTCACCAAGGGAAGCCCCTTCCTATCAGGCTTTGCCTGCGGCCCCAAAGCATGCACTGCCCTGTCCCATCACCCTGACTCTGCCCAGCCACTCGCCGTGACTCACCTCGGTCCAGTCGGCGGCGTTGTCCTGCGGAATGGCGATGGTGTCGCTCTGGTACTCCGCCAGGATGTCCTCGTGCTCCGACAGCAGCTTCACGTGCAGCTGGTAGAGGCAGCCGGCGTCGCTGCGACCCGCGTACCTGCAAAGAGACCCAGGCTGCCAGCCTCGCCCCTCGCGGCCGCTCAGCAAACAGGCCCGGTGCTGAGAGCAGTGCGGCTGGGCCCGGGCTGGGCACCGTCCTACACCAAGCCATGTCCAGAAAGCAAAGCCCCAACCACCTGGATTACAGTGAGCTTGTTCCAGTCTCCCACCGCCGCTAGCTGGGCTGGAGCGCTAGTGCAGACCCAGGGCTGGTGTTCTCACCAGTGTGTCTGCAAGAGGCATGGAGCAGTGCCTCTGCTACCATTGATGGACCCATGCCCACGGAAGCAATGGTGAGAAATGGGGGTCAAAGAAGTCCATTGTAGACACAACTCCAGCCTCTCCTCATCTCCCTCTCTCTGCTTCCCTTGGCCTTTCCCCTCTCTCCCTGCCAGCACAGCACAATCCCCCCCTCACCCTCCCCCCCCCCACCACACACACTTACCAGTCCTTTACCACAATTTTAGGCTGGGTTGTGTCCAGCAGCTCCTCCCAGTAACCCTCAGCCCTGAGGTCGATGACCTGAGACTTGCGGCACCACCTGGAAGACGAGAAGTTACCGGGTGAGCGCGGCTCTGTTTCCTCACATGCCAGCGTAGGGTAGAACCCAGCCAGAGAAGAGGGCAGCCTTACTCGTAGGAGGTGACGAAGTATTTGTGGACTCCATCGCTGGGAAATTCTTTTCCAAAGTCTCCCGGCAGGTCCTCAATTTTCCAGCCGTCACCTCCGTTCTCCACTTCCCCCCAGTGGTCTAAATCCTCTGCAGATAGCAGAACAAGAGAGAGACTCTGGGTTATAGTCACGTGGCTTCAAGCCTCTTTCATCTTCCTACGTGGGGATTTCTTTGATAGATCCAGGCAGGGAGTTTGATTTGAGTTGTGCTTTACTTCGCAAGTGAGCCATTGACTATCTGCAGTGTAAGGGACTGTTTGGTAGGACTATCGTAATCTGGCCTTCGATTCTCAGCACCTACGCTCTGATCATTGTCTTAGCAGCCTCCCTTCACTAGAGAGCCCTGCCCAGCATTTCAGACTGGTCTAGGTACATATTGCAACAGTTTAAATAAAGGTGTGATGTTAAATTGCTCTGACTTTGTGTGTGGACCAGGCCTTAGAGAGCTGCTTTCAGGGTCAAATTTAGACCAAAAATGTCAGATTGGTAAAAACAAGCTTTTACAACCCCCCCGCTTGATTGCAATGGTTCTGTGATCATTTAAATAACTCCACTGAAAACTATTTTTATTGTATTTCAACATTCCCAGGGCTGCCACACTGGGCTAGTGCAGGAGAGGACTGATCCGTTTCCTTCTCCAAGCTGAAATCAAATGCACAGAGCTAGCACTTGGCATCAGTGGGGACAAGCTCATTCAATTTTTTAACTCTTTCATAAGCCAGGTAAAGGTTTTCTTTGTAAAGATGGAGCCAGTATTCCTTGCTTAGCCTTGTTTTCAACCCTCCTCTAACGTGGTCAGAACAGACCAAAAGATCCTCCACCCCCACCCCCACCCTTCCTTTTGGCTTGAGCATTTTCAGAATTATATTGGAAAGTTGGAAGCAAATCGGCTCAACTGTTGGTGAGTGATACAGCCAGAAGCAGCGTGATCCAGTGGTCTGTAGGCAGAGCCGGAACCAGGGGTTCTTGAGCTCTAAACTCTGCCACAAACTCACTACATAGCCTTGGGTACATCATTTAAAAGCAGATTTTCAAACAAGCACTGCCCATGTGCTCCTTCGAAAATTCCCCTTGTTTTTTTATTTTGTTGTGAGACCCCCAAGAGTAGCCAAACCCTCTGCAGAACCCTGGCCCAACGGAGACCCTTTGAAACCAACCCTGTAAGTGAATTGCCACTGAATCCGTAGCGGAGCCAAAAGGTACCCAAATCTCAGGCCCTGCAGTCCTGTGCCTTGACCAGCACACAGTCCTTCCTCCCCTTTGGAAGCTGGAGCTGAAGCCCCCAAGTTGTAGGGGAGGGTGACGTACAGTGCAGTAAAGCACCACAGATCGGGGTGATGTTGTTATGCTGCACTGGCCACTAACCACGGTGGACCTGAGCACGTGCCCCCTCCTGGAAATCCCCAGCAGGTGCTTGTATAAAGAGGCTCCAACGCCTGGCCACCACCCCGTTAATGGAACCCCCAGGCCAGCTGCTGTTGATTTAGTCTCACACACAGTGAGACGGGTGCTGCATCTCTGCCCAACCCAGGGCCTCTTAAAGTGCTTGGAGATGCACACTGCTCAGTAACCAGCCCGGTCCTCCCCCCGCCGCGCGAAGGTGTTACAAAGTTCAGTCACTCGCCTTCGCCGCAGGGGTTCTTGATTAAATTCCTCTTCCTCTTCCTCAGGAAGTAGAACGTTTGCCAGTTCTCGGCCTCCTCTTCAGGCTCTGCCCCGGTGAAGCCCTCCTGCTGGCACTTCAGGATCCAGAGAGCTGCTCCATCCACAAGGTTCTTCCACTGGCAGCAGACCAGGCGGCACACCAGCACCAGCTCCACTGCGGGGATGGAGGCCAGGATCTGAATCAGGACGGCTTCAGGGAGGGATTCCATCCTTCGGCCAGGCTGGGCGGAGCTTTCTGAGAACAAGGGGAGAGGATTTACAGGCCTTGAGCAGGTAATTGGTCTATCGGGGCTGGTATCCCACCTCTGGTAGTAGCCAATGACTGCAGCCTGAGAAGAAGGGAAAAAAGACAACCCAGCCCATGTTGCACCAGGCTGTTGGGCACCTGTGTTCGAGGCGGAATTAATTCCTCCTGACCCCTGAGCACCTTAGACCCTGAAACATGAGAGTAGGTCATTCCTATATTAAGTTATAACAGAACTGCAAGAACTTTCTTATTGAAGCCTCTGACTTCCGGCGGCAGTGAAGTAACAGACAATTCAAATGCAACAGCCCACGGGTGAAGCTTGTGAGTGCTTGAGGTTGGTGTTGTCACTAGCCAGCCTCTGCCTCTGCAGTGCAATCCTTCCAGAAATGTGCTTATGCAGGAACCTGGCTGTTAGTAGCAAGAGCTGCAAGACACCTGGCCTTGCTATTGGATTCACTGCCAGATAAAAAGCTGCAGGCATCAGGGTGTTGGATTTCCCTTCATAAGATGACTAATGTCTGGGTGTATGCCATGTAATGGTGCCCAGATACCATGGTGATCGGCGCCCTGTAAATCCTTGACAATGCGTCAGATTTAGTTGGGTGTGTTTGAAATTTGCAAGCCCTTCGTATCACAGAGTGGCCCCTTTGCTCTCAGGTGACAGGACAGGACAGAATGCTGCACTTTGTATAATGGCAAATATCTCAGTCGAGTCCCCTCTGACTCCTCCCTCCAAGGCCTAGGAATCCTGGCAACAGGGTCAGAAGTGTCCTTTAGCACTCGCCCTACGTGAGTGTGCGGACTCAGAAACCTTCTGTGTCATTGAGCCATGCCTACCCCCACCGGCCCAGCCTTTGGAGCCAACTGCGACGGAGTAACCGGAGATGAGAGTGCAGCTTGCAAACCGCATGTCATTAATATGGGATGCACCATGACGGTGCTTTTATCCCCTCTGACTCCTGCTGTTGAGAAGCTGCTGAGGCTGCACCAAGATGCAGTCTGGAGGGGACCTGACCAGACTCGCCAGGAGCCAATCATAGCTTTCTTCTAGCACTCGGGCCATCTTCTGTGTGCTGCCGGGAGCGAATGGAACCAAGTGGGCAAACCTGACATGCCATTTGCAGAAACCTTGGCAGCATTAATACAGCCAGGCCAACAGCACTAAGTGCTGTGTCACTTGAGCAAGGCAAGGCAGGATGTAGAGGTCATTGCTGTTGGTATTCTGAACCCAAAAGCTCTGAGCTCCAGGTGTCTCCCATCTGTCCTGCACTGGCATCAGATGGCAAAATCCCACTGCTCTGAGGGGTGGTATTAGCATCCTCCCCCACACCCAAGTTACAAGCTCAGAGTTTAAGATGAAGGAAATTCCTGACGGGCAGAACAGGCCAGACTCCGATCACGCAGGCTGCAGTCCCTGCTGACTTCATGGTCTGCAGCAGCTTCGCTGCACCCTCCCTGACAAGCTCACCGCATCTCCGGACTAGCCAGACTCATCGGTTCTCTTTCAATTTCACCGCCTTGCCCCAGTCTCGGCCGCCAGCCCCGCTTTCATGTCCTCCCCTGTCCCCTTCCGAAGAGTCTCTCCTTAACTTAACCTGAGTCCACAATGAACTGAACAACTTCCGATTCCAGCTCTTTCCCTATTTGGGGGCACACCCTGGTCTCCTCTGCCAGGTGCCCTGCGCTTCCCAAACCTTTCCTGTGCCCTGTTCCCCTGTCTGCACAAGCCTTAAAGGTGCACTCCCTGCCTTGCAAAGAGAGCAGGGAGCGCTGCAGGGTTAAAGCACCTGTCCTAACAATGCCCGTAACACACCAAGGATGCTGCAGCACAAGCCGAGGCTGCCGTGCAAAAGGCCTGCCTCCCTAGCCGCATCCCAGCCCGGCAGTGAGAGAGGAACAGGAGATGCTGAGACGCTCCTACCTCACTTGCTGCTCCTGAGACGGCGGCACCGTTCTGGATTGGTCTGTCGCAGGCAAGTAACTAATGCTGGCAGGGCTCTGCTAGAGCATAGAGCAGGCAGAATGGGTTCCCCTCTTAAAGGGACAGTGCATCATTGGCTGCAATCCAGGATGCGCTCGTGTATTGGCTCGTGTGATATTGCTGATCTGGCTGGAGAGTTACCTGGGGGGGGGGGTGTGTGTGCGTGAGTCTGGGACTCCTGATTTCTAATTCAGGCTTTGTGTGAGCTTGGGCAAGTCACTTGCTCCTCTCTGCCTCCTGACCAGTCAATGTGGGGGGCGGCGGGCGGGGTGTTGACACTTACCTCCCAGGGTGTTGGGAGGATGAATGTGCCCTTTGCCACCCTGTATTCCCCCGGCATTAGGAACTTTTGCCTGTTTCATGCAAGAGCCCAGGGCAAGGGGAGACCAAACTGCACGTTAATGTGAGGGACCGGATAGGGCCTGCTGTGCTGTATCCCATCTCTATCCCTGACGCTCTGCTCTCCACCTCCGGATGGCACTGCAGCACCGGAGGTGCTTGCCCACTTTGAGCACTGGCTGAGGGGCACCCAGTGGCTGTGAGATGCAGGTTCTCATGTATCACACTGGTGACGGTGGTATAAACAGCTAGCTAGATCAAAGGAGGATCCCGGAGGGGCTGGCTCCCCAGGGGCAAAGAGAAATCCCAGCTGGGGTGTAGGCTGATGCCACCTTCCATACCCAGCTACTAGGGAATGGGAGAGGCTAAGACCTAACAGCTCATCCTCCCAAACTATAATGTTTTGTGTTAACAATGAACTGCGTGAGTACATTCAATCTCTAAGTGCAATTGACATTCCCTTCTCGAGTCTGCCTCCTGCCTTACTGTCATCTTCTACCTCAGTTCTGGGGCTCTCCTCATCCCCTTGGGAGAGCTGCATAACCATGACTCTACTCCTGTTCCTCCTCCTCCCACTGTCTCACGCCCATCTCTCCTCCCCAGCTGCAGGCGGGCAGCTGCATTTTCAAAAGCGGCCTCTAACTTGTGGGCACCTCCACTTTTTGGATGCCCAACTTGAGACACCTTGGGCCCGATTTTCAGAAAGGTCAAGTGCCTGCAACCCTCGTGAGCAGCTCTACTGCAGGAGACCTACTCGTGTGCGTAGAATTACTAGTGTGCGTAAGAGCTTGCAGGAGCCGAGCCTGAACTAGTTTTGTGGTCCAAGTACAGTGAAGTGCCAAAAGGGAATTAGGCCACATAATTATTGTAGTTCTGTATGCAGGGCTCGGGAATGTGCTAGGTGCTTTGCAGAGTAAAGCCAGCGACAAGGGACAAGAACAGGAGTACTTGTGGCACCTTAGAGACTAACACATTTATTTGAGCATAAGCTTTCGTGGGCTACAGCCCACTTCATCGGATGCATAGAATGGAACGTATAGTAAGGAGATATATATACACACACATACAGAGAACATGAAAAGGTGGGAGTTGTCCTACCAACTTTAAGAGGCTAATTAAGAGAAAAAACTTTAATTATCCGCAGGGACACAGGAAGGACAAAGTTTACAGTAAGTGCATCACGTGGCTATTCAGTTTTGTTAGCTGTAAAGATTTGCTCTTATGGACTTAGCATTTTGACTGGTTTTGGTATCGATGGTGAAAAGTAAACTAGGTTTGTAAAATGATTTCTCTCCAAATCATCCAAGTGCGATTAGCAACGGGAGGGGGTGGGGAGGAAGAGGTGTTTGTTTATAACGTGATTATTATTTTTTTCCCCTAGACATCCTCTTAACCTTATTTCTCTAAATCATGTTTCTCGTTATTTAGTTGTATGAATGCCCACTCTCTGCTAGGTGCTTTCCAAACACTTCTGCTCCAAGGAGCTCTCAGTCCATGACAGAGGGTTGGGCAAGAACAATAATTATTTGTGTGCATAATTCACAAAAATGGTTCCCTCTTTCTGAAGGTTTTTTTTGTTCTTTTAACAATGAAACTTTTTCCTTTTCCTCAATTTGGTTTATTCTTCTGCCTCTTGTAACTTTAATTCCTCCCTGTTTAAGTACATTTTCCTTTAAGATGAAGCAGATTCCTATAACAGAATAGTCAGATACAAGCGATAACAGAAGCTGCTGGTAACATGAAGGGTGCACCCCCTGGCTGTCCACCCAGCTCGGGCCATGTCCACACTAGGAGTGATTTGCACCATGGTACAGTGATACTGGCAAAGCAGTTGTAGTGCGGCTACAGTTTATACTAGCAACGCTCCACTTCTGTCTGCACAGCCGCCTCCAGTCACCTCCCACCGCTCTTCCACTGTCCTGCAGGCACCCTACCCTGTACCAGCAAAAGATAGTCAGTATACCTGGATCTACACTACAGGCTTTTGATGGTAGACAGGCCTGATGCTGGTCACGCCTCGTGGCATCCCTGTCCGACCTAGCCAGGCTGCCAGGAGTTCCTAGCGTAGCTGCGGCCTGCGTGCTCCTATCCTGTGCTTGTCCCTGTAGTACCCAGCACCTGTCTCCTTTTCTCGCTCTTCAGCTTTATTATTTACTGGGGCTGTGGTAGCGCCCAGGAACCCCAGGCGTGGCCCTCGACCCCGGGGCGCTAGGCGCTGTACAAAGACCAGCCCCTGCCCACGAGAGGTAACTGTGATTACAAACGAGAGACCGGAGGTGGCTGCAGACTTGACAGCCAGGGGGAGCTCCGGGCTCGGCACAGCAGCAGTTTTACTTTCCTTTTCCTTCTCTACCGCCGCCCTCGCCAGCTGTCCCCGGCTCCAGGCCGCCGGGCTCCGGAGTGCGGTGAGCTGGCGGGGGCAGGAGGAAAGCGGGGCTCCGGGCTGGGGAACGGGGCGACCGGGGTGTCTCGGGGGGGGGGGAGTGAGTGAGGTCTGGGCCCCGGGGTGGGGTCGTGTCGTGTCGTGTCGTGTCGCACATCCTGGCCCTGCCCCGCGGAAGGAGACGCAGGCGGCGGCGGGCCGAGCTGGTAGCCCGGGCTCGGCGGCCTGGATCTCGGTTGCAAGCGGCCGGGTTCCTCCGCCTGGCAGCTGGGCAGGAGCCGGGGGCCCCGCTGCGGCCCGTGTATGGGGCTGGGGGCCGGGATCCCTTGTGGGGCTGAGTCGGGCTCCTGGGGCGGGGCGGGGGCTTTGCATGGCAGAAGGGGGCCCATTGGGGTTGGCACGTCTCGGGTACATCCGGGGTGCAGCTGGCAGCGTCTGCTGGGCCCCCTGACACATTTCCCAGGACCGCCCTGGGAAAACCTTTGGCCAGGTGGCAACTAGTGTTAGCAGCTTGGAAATGCAAAAAAAAAAAAAAAAAAAAAAAAAAAAA